TTTTCCCAGCAGTTTGCTTGTAAGGGTCTGCATCTGCATTTTTCCATGTGCATTATCAACGTTGATCTGTGTTGGATCTGCAGTAAATGAGCTCTGTCAGCAGCATCCCTGAGCAGGTACCCTTCTGGGTATTTGACACTACTCCTCCATAAACCTCTGTTCCCAAGCATGGTAGTGACATCTGCTTGAGATGATGGAAATGAAAAAACAGATGTGAAAGCTCAGCTGTATTATCAGCTGTTTTCACGTAGAGTGCGTTTTCTCTCTTTTGTAATACAGGGAGCTACAAGGTGCTTAGAGATGTGGTTTAGTGGTGGACTTGGCAGTGTTAGGTTTAGGGTTGGACTCGATGATCTTGAAGGTCTTGTAGTTGATTCCATGTTTCCATGCTCATGGTAGCTTTTCTTCTGCTCTTGTCTGCTGACAAATGAGCACTTTTTATCTACTACAAGCTTAATTGTCTTTAGCTCAAGGAAGGTACTAGACTTTGTCTTTAGAAATGTCTGCAATGTATTGCAACATCCCACCAATTCTAACTACTGATGTCTTGAATTCACCAGAGCTCTTATTTCCCCTCCCATATCTTTCCTGGTTTTGCTCACCTTTTTGTTAAACTGTTTATGTGTGCACCATGAGGGCTCCACGTGCTGAAATATCTAAGAACAGTCTCGAAATGCTTCTCTAAGTATTGCAGGCCATCTTCAACTGTAAACTCATCTTACATCTCCTTAAAGTCAAATGTAATTTACAGTAGGAAAAACTACTTGGTATGCTTTACAACAAGGTAGAATTGTTAGTTTTATTCAGTTTAATAGAAATAAATCTGTGGAAATTTCAGCCAAAGCTGCATGGGAAAATGGTGATTGTCTAAAAATATGCATGAGTGAGGCAAAAACTGTTCAAGCTAAGGAACACTGTTGGCAGAAAAAAACACAAAAAACAAGTAGACCCAGGCCAGGAATACAGGTAGGCTGGAAGTGAAAAGATAATTTCTTACCACCAGAACTCTTGTTGCGCTAATTAATATAGAAGTATTGGAGAGACATGTAGGAAAAAAATCAGTAACTAAGTAAATGGAGCTGGACCAATTTATGAGAGCACGTTCCTTTGTATCTCATGTCTGGCTGCAAGATTTGTATGTAATCTCTCCATCCGATATTTCAGACTCCACATCATACAATCACCAAAACTGCTATAACACTTGTAAGTCATTAACTACTCTAAGATCTTCACTCTGAAGCTAGAACTATATTAAAGTGACCTCTGCCCATATTTTTAAAAGAATACCTACAAGTTACAAATGGTATTAAACATCCGTTTCTTTTGCCATTTATCTCTTGCAGGAAACTCTACCCGTCAAAATGTGCAGGGTAGGAAGCAGCACAGCTCTGAAAGAGCTCTCCCTCTCCTGCGTGAGAAGGCTGTGCCCGTGGGCAAGAACGAGGCTGGGACCCAGCATGTAGTGAATTTTAACCAGGGCTTTCTGGGTGACTCAGGAGTTGACCTTGACAGTCACTTACCCAGAGTATCAGATTTCCTGTCTATAAAGCTGATGCTGGTATTACACACAGTACTATAAGAATGATATCTCCCAGGTGCATCATTTAATATCTCACAGTGATTTAGTTGAAGATGGAGGCTTTAGCAGAGCTGATGCAATAGATTCCTCTGGTGCTTTAAAACAAACGTCAATAAGAAATGGGCCTTCCTTCCCTTCCATGTGATTTTCCCCTTGAAAAGAAAAACATTTCTTTATTTATGTCTTTATGAATCCTCATAAATCCACAGTGTTATTTCAGTTGCTGGTGCTACCATTTTCCTACACACAAACAGAACAGCTACAATGACAAGTTGCACCTAGGAGTTAGGGAATTGCTAAAACCTGAGCATAACTGATCAGCAACCAAGGCACAAGAGAGCAAACCACTGTCCAAAAGTTCTGTAGTGACATTACCAGGACCAGGTGCATCTGTGATAGGTTTGGGGCAGTGGGAACTGCAGAGGTGACAGAATTGGGATGGCAAGGGCGATACTCTCAGCCCAGCACTGCTGGTGGATAAGGCAAAGCAAAGTACAAACCAGCCCCTTGTTTTTGGGGTTTGTGTGGATGTTTCTGTCCAGGCTGAGTGACTGAATACTGGGAGGGGATGCCAGACAAAGCCTTCTTCCTCTCACTGCTCACCAATGCATCTTATGTCCCACGTCAGGAGGAAGTGAATTTGGAGCAACAACTCTCATATTGCTGGAGTGAATTTGGGAGTCTATGAATTAGAATAGCACTTGGATACTACAGAGTAGTCAAATCTATGGATTTCATATGTTAGCACTTTTCTCTGTATTTTTTGCTCCAGAATTATCCCCTTTTTTTCTGATTTTTCAGCTGCTTCCCTGGTCCTTACCCTCACACAGAAATGCTTTGCAAACAACTCTAGAATAACTTCAGTACTGACTGCCTAACATGGACAGCAGGATCAACTGCATGCGTGGCAGGAACATCATCTGAAAAACATAACACTACGGAGCCAAAATAATGATAGCTTAATGTCACCATCATTGAGTCCATTCAGATACTGTACCCAGTTCCTGAATGCTATGCCGTGCTGCTCATTGAATCTACCATGTGCTGAGGAGCACCCAGACCACAGTCCTTGCGTCAATGCTGTGCTCGTACAACTCTCCAGCAAAGAGGCCCATTGTGCATGCAGCATTTGCATTTCTATATATCCAGAACAGGCTTTCGTTTTATTGTGAGTTCCCATTATTCTGTTCCCCTAAATTCATCACCCACTGAGGCTGGTTAGCTGTTGTTGTTTGTTTTGGTATTACAGAGAACAAAGATGAAGTTTATTCTCACAAGAATGGAAATGAGGGTGTAGCAATCAGAAGAGAATAAAAAAATTAAAGCTGTTTAATTTTCAAGCATGCTGGGGAAAAAGATATCTTTTGTACCTGATTCCATCAAAGGAGAAGCACGTGAACCCTATTGTAACAGAAAAATGTGAATGCAATTCAGTTTGGATAAAGACAGTGATCAGTCTATCTGCTTTCTAACTTTGTGCTTTTCCCTGTCCTTTTTGACAAAATTCTTGAGAAATCTGAAGGCTAGAAAATAAAATCTTCCACTAGAAAATATTAGTTAGTTATATGCACCTATTTCCACCTCATTTGAAAGGTTTAGAGAAGCGCGTGTGTGTGTGTGTGTGTTGGAGCATACAGTAGGATATATGTGTATAAGCAACATTTGTGTTAATGATGCAGCAATGAAAGTGTCAGCTTATGCTATAGAGACTGAGAAAAAATATTGCATTGTTATTTTATGTTATTGATTGCTGCTGTTGTAAAAATTACTTTCAATTTCAGTGAGATAGCTGTGCTACAGCAGCTGCCATTAGCAGTAAGTTGTATCCTAGCTGCTAACTGCATTAAAAAAGCCAGGCACCTAAATGGTCTTCAGAGTATTGCAAAGGGACATTGGTAAAGCAGAATAGGGACTGGATTTGGGGTTTCTTCTTGAAATAAATTCCTTCATCTTTTGATAGAGGACTCTTTTATCCAGAGCTGTTGCTCTTCTACCAGAGCTACTAGGTCACAGTAGAAAACTTTTGAAGAATACCAGCAAACAGACTTCCAAGTGATAACTATACTTGTAAATAAAACAGGTTGTTCTCTGGCCAGGTGGGTACATGGCAGAGCATGGCCCACAGCCATACAGTTGAATTCTCTTCATCCCACAAGCAAAATGATCGTGTGCCTGATGTCTTTCAGGAATCATCTCTGTCCTGTGCTATTTCCCAAAGAGAAGGAGGCTCATCAGCATTTAGCCTATTCTGCTCTTCAGCA